GTATGTGTCATATGTGGATATATACACCTTGTGAGTTCCCAGTCAAGCTGTTATTGCTCGACTCCACTCCAAATTCATCTCAGCAGCTTGGACGCCACCACTGAATCTCAGCCGCAGGATTCCATGCACAGTCATAAGGTTGGTCAGGTACTGGAAAGATTATCGTTATTAAAGTGAATGGATTGGAGGAGGAGGAGGAGGAGGAGGTGGCGGCGGCAAAGAAACATATAGCAGTCCAACCCTCATAGCTGGTGTTGTAATAAGAGACGCCATGCTGATAACTGGGTACAAAGTTGCTGTTGCTGATACATCATGATTGTCTCAGAATTCAGAGGTGCGGAAGTCATGATGCTTGATTCTTGGGCACTGTTGGAAAAAAGAATGAACAACAATTGGCAATGTTATTTATTGGATTTTGTTATTTATTTAATTTCGATCCCCCTCTTGCTCCTGAAGGTTCCCAGGGCAGCAAGTATGTACCAACAGTTAAGGGGTAGAGGCAATTATGGATTACTATTAGTTGTTTTTAAATCTGTGCATCAATTTCACAGATTTAGTGTAACTCACACCTAGAAGGTGTGTCCTGGGAGGCTCCCATTTTCAGCTCATTCATATAGCAGACTAGAATGTACCAGGATCATAGCAGATGGCATAATCTTAAAGGGTGAATGTTAGAAGAAATCTGGTACCAGACCCTCCTAGAAGAAATTCTGTTACCCAGAAATGCAAGACAATATTCTGGTTTGAAGCATTGAAAGCCATTAATGACTGTGGTGAATATTCAGTATCTTCTTTTGAAGCCAGTTTGATAGGTGAGAAAATATATGTCATTATTAGCAGAAAAGTAATCACTTTGTCTGTGGATGTTCTTACATCAGATTGAGAATAATGGTTCTTCAAGGTCATTGTGATTATTGCTGCATTGGAGTAAATTGAACCATGAGGTCAGTAGCAACATTAAGATGTGTGTACACTAATGAAATGAAAGTTGTTTGGAGGGGGAGGTCCGAATAACCTTTAAAACCAAGTGTGAAACTATGGAAGAATTTTTGAAAGGGTACACTTAAAATTTGATGACTGTCTTCATTAGCACAAATGAACTATACATAATGTAGCTTAAAAGCAATTTTGCTAAAAGAGTGTAATTTCCAGTAAGATGAAGTGAATAAAACAAATCTGATTTCTTTCCTTTCCTTTATGGCAATATCTGTGCCTGTTGGTAAAACAACACGTCTTGTAGGTGGAAATAGTGGCTGCCGACTCCTGGCAGTGGTGATAAATCGCACACCCAACCCCAAGTTTAACACATTCCCAAGTTTCAGCTTTCTTTCACTTACCCTCTCCCCGGAAAAGTGAGTGCTCAGTTCTCATATAAAATCATAGAATTGTAGAGTTGGAAGGGACCCAAAGGGCCATCTAGTAACGTAGGGTTGCCATATGTCCTCTTTTTCCAGGACGCATCCTCTTTTTCATGCGTAGAGTCATAGCAATCTATAGTTAAAAGGAGAAGTCAGCAAATGTTCTCTTCAAAATATGGCAACCCTAATAGTCCAATCCCCTGCAATGCAGAAATCCCAGCTAGCTTTTCATTCATCTCCACTGTAGGGGAAAACATGGAAATGGTGGGGTCAGGTGGCCATGAAATAAAAAAAAGAAAAGAAAAATCTGTGATAATTTTATACAGTGTATGCAAGATAACCCACCGGAGCCGTAATAAGGGAGAACACAATCCACCTGCCTTTGCTGTGTTAAGTAACATCTGCAGTGGGGCAAGACACCATTGTTGTGATTCATTCAAGCCTAAACAAATAGAATCAAACTTCTTGGTAACTTCTTGGTCAGTTTTATGTTGGTTGCTCATATAAACATTATTTAGTAGGATGAAACTACTGTGTTGGTTAATTCATGAACTTCGTTCACTGTGTGTGAGGAAACTGAATTTTTAGGATAGCCTGGCCACAGAGCTGTTTGCTCTTATAACCTCTCATCTACCGTATTTTTCCCTCTATAACAAGCAGATTTTTTCTCCTAAAAAGGAAGGGGAAATGTCTGTGCGTGTTATTGAGTGAATGTGCAGTTCCTGGAGCCAAATGGCATGAGGGGAGGCAAAAAAAAATCAGGCAAAAATCAAATCGTGCGTCTCGGAGAAGGGAAACCTGAAAAGAGGAAGCGGCTGCTTTCCTGCATTCTGCCTCAGGGTCTTACTGCCCACTCTCCTCTGTTTCCTTGCTGTGTTTGTTCAAACGGAACAAAGAGCAGGGAAAGCCCCTCCCCTCCAGGCAAGCAGAGGGGAAAGCAGAGGAAAACACACAGGAGGGAGGGAGAGAGAGAGAGAGAGAGAGTGCGCGCGAGCTGGCTGGCTTGGGTGGGTAGGTGAGGGAAAACTTTTGCCTTTCATTCCTCCCTCCCGTTATACCCCTCTCCTGCATTCTTAGCCAGCTGCTTCTCTGCACACCCCTCTCGTGCTCCTTGTCCGTTCTGTGTTTTTCCTTCCCTCCCCACTTAAAATGTGGTTAAAAAGCATGGATCCACATGGATCCTCAGGATCTTTGGATTGGGTCACCCCAAATTCACCATCAGATCACATAGCATGTCCATGGCTACAGCCTGTCCCCCCAAAATCACGCACCCACTGTTGCCTGGGGCTGCAATGGTGTAAAAACGTGGTTAAAAAGCATGGATCCACATGGATCCTCAGGATCTTTGGATTGGGTCACCCCAAATTCACCATCAGATCACATAGCATGTCCATGGCTACAGCCTGCCCCCCCCCAAATCACGCACCCACTGTTGCCTGGGGCTGCAATGGTGCAAAAACGTGGTTAAAAAGCATGGATCTACATGGATCCTCAGGATCTTTGCATTGGGTCACCCCAAATTCACCATCAGATCACATAGCATGTCCATGGCTACAACCTGCCCCCCAAAAATCAAGCACCCACTGTTGCCTGGGGCTGCAATGGTGCAAAAATGTGGTTACAAAGCATGGATCCACAGGGATTCTCAGGATTTTTGCATTGGGTCACCCCAAATTCACCATCAGATCACATGTCTGTGGCCACAGCATGAAGCACAAAAATGATACATCCACTGTTTCATTCAGAATGTTTTTTCCCTTGTTTTCCTACTCTAAAAACGATGTGCGTGTTATGGTCAGGTGCGTGTTATAGAGCGAAAAATACGGTAGATTACTGTAAATGGCTTGAGACTCAAGTATCTGATGAAACACCTTTCATTTTTTTCAGCAGACCAGGCCCTGGGATCTGCAGTGAGGGTCCTTTTCATAGTGGTGTGAGATAAGGCCTTCCTTAGGGGTGTAGAATTCTCTCCACTCGGAGGCATGGGTGTTTTCTGTTGGGATTCTGCTGCCAACCCAAAATCCATCTCTACATCCTGGCCTTCAAACAATTTGTTTAGGTAGTTCCAGATTCTGAATTATGGGGTGTTTTATGTTTGCTGTTGTATTTTGTCTGTATTTCATAGAATCATAGAATTGTAGAGTTGGAGGGGATCCTGAGGGTCATGTAGTTCAACCCTGTGCAATGCAGGAATCTCAACTAGATCATATATGGCCGGTGGCCATGCAAGCTCTGCTTAAAAACCTCCAAGCAATGAGAGGCTCTACCACCTCTCAAGGGAGTTTCTTCCACTGTGGAAAAGCTCCTACTGTCAGAAAGTTCCTTCTGATCTTTAGTTGGAATTTCCTTTCTTGTAACTATCTGTTCTGTGGTTTTAAATTATTGTTGTATAGCCCTCTGAGCCACCTTGAGATCCTTCTGGATGAAGGACAATTTTGAAATTGAACAAAAAGCAAGTCATGTGTGTATTCAAACAAATGCAAATCAGAAGTTCAGTTAAAGGCTCCTTGTTCCTTTAAGTCTGCTTCTGGGTATGTAGGGTGGGTATGGTTTGTGGAAAATGGGCTTGCAGGCTAAATTATGACCCCTGCTGGACCTCATATGGCCTACTGGGCTGAGGATCCCCACTGCTGAGTGGGAAAGTAAACACTGGTCAAGCTTGTAAGTTGGACTAGCTTGTAACCAGGGTCTTCTGCTTAGAATCCAGGAATGTGCTACAAACCACACCTGATGTGATACTGTTTTCTCCCTATTACTGCTTGTTGAATAGCTAGTATAGCAAGCTGCTGTGTAAGCACAGCATTACTGCTTTATCTTTTCTCACTGTCAGCTCTGTGTACAGATATACAGTGGTATCTCGGGTTAAGTACTTAATTTGTTCCGGGGGTCTGTACTTAACCTGAAACTGTTCTTAACCTGAAGCACCACTTTAGCTAATGGGGCCTCCCGCTGCTGCTGTGCCGCCGGAGCCCAATTTCTGTTCTTAACCTGAAGCAAAGTTCTTAACCTGAAGCACTATTTCTGGGTTAGAGGAGTGTGTAACCTGAAGCGTATGTAACCTAAAGTGTATGTAACCCGAGGTACCACTGTATACATAAAGATGTATAACTGCTGCTTCCGCCATATCATAGCTGGCCATTTTTATATGGTGTTCCATCCAGATTGTGTTAGATTGTCTCAGTAAAAATAATATTTTACATAGGGGAGGATTGTGTATGCCAGATGATTTAATTTTTATTTCATTTTGAGTTCATTTTCAGAAATAAAGGACCAGCATGAATGCTTATGCATGCTGCAACACTGGCATTTAATGGTGAATCCTTCTTTGAATAAATGTATCCATTTTCAATCTATACTGATCACCGCGGAATATTCTGTGCATTTATTTTACACCAGCAAGAGGGAAAATGACCCTGGCCCATTCCTCTATTTCTCTGGCAGTGGTTTTCAACCACAATGGGCTGAAATGTGAGCAACAGCAGTGACTTCACTTAGTAAGAGGATGATGACGGATGCACATCAGGCAGAATAGCAAATCATCTGATGACTTAAGCAATCCTCATTTCATAGCTGATTTTCTTTTCATTTCCTTAAAACAATGAGAACTTTGCTGATTGAATCACCTTTCCCCTCTTTCTGCAGGTCTCCAAGAAACCCGGAGCAGAAGATCATTAAACGAGTGATTGCTCTTGAAGGAGACATTATAAAGTAAGTATGGTATGCCATTGTCTCTGACTCCTTATAAGAATATAATACATTTTCAGTAGAATTTGAGGTGGTAACCCAGGCAACTATGATATCCTGTCATTTTGGAGCTGTATATTATTAACAGGGGTATCAATGCTATATCTTTTTTTTTAATGAGCCACCTATTTCGGCACCCATTAAAGACCTCAACTTTTCAGAAAGCATTTTAAGTAGATATATTTATCCCAGTCTGTTTCTGCATTGGATTTTAATTGGATATATATATATGGAATTGTTTGTGTATATAAAACTGTGTTTACTCATTTATGCTTTTACTCTGAATTCACTTTGAGATATTATGTGGGAAGTTACTCATTATTGTATTTTAGTGTATTGTATTGTATTGTATTGTATTATTGTGTTTTAGTGTTTTGTTGGAAGCCGCCCAGAGTGGCTGGGGGGCCCCAGCCAGATGGGCGGGGTATAAATAATTTTTATTATTATTATTATTATTATTATTATTATTATTATTATTATTATTATTAAATTATTATAAATGGAATCAAACAAATAAATAGTCCCAAAACCTCTGGACTTGTACCCAGTTGGAGAAGGTTGACTTAGAGAATGAATCATTAACAAAGTTGTCACTGATGCTATAAATCCGTGCATTTTGCAATAATTCAGTTCTAAAAATTATTAAGTTCTTGTACAATGCAATTCTTCTTGAATTGATTCAGTGCTGTTTGGGGTTTTGTTATTAACTGATTCATTCATAAACCCAAACAGCACTGAATAGTATGTTAAGGAAGAGATTTAACAACTTGCATGCATGTTTGTAGCTTCAAATTTTTGCATGTGTTGGATTTTGGAGATCTTTAATCTGATAAACATAGAAACATTTTTATTACAATGTGATGGGGAACATGAATGGCTTTAATTAACAGCTAGTGTGTGCAATTGGCCACCTCTGCAGTGAAACCTAGGTGGGAATGGAATTGCCGTCCATGACTCAGGATGTTGCAAGCACATAGCACATAGTGTTGGCTGCTGATGTGACTAAGGACAGCTCACCAGTCAGCTAGTGGGCGCACAGTAATAGGTGATATGGCCTTGCCTCTAGAATTGCATCTCTATGGTTACCTGAAAGGTTGTAAATATCCTTCTCTCTGTGATTCTTATTTTTGTGTGTGTTAGCAATTCTACTAGCAAACTGTGACAATGACCACCAGTGGCCTTGATGTGGATTGTCTAACTCTATTTAGTCACCTCCTGTCAGAACAGCATTAGCATGCCTTAGCTGAAAGGATTATTTGAAAGTAGCTTTATCAATTATATGTTGAAAGCACATGGCATTTTTTAAAAACAGACTTTTAATGTCATTAACGGTTAGTTTGCTTTTTCATATTTGCTGAGCACTACAGATAAAGTAAGTAACCACATCAAGACAGTCATCAGTTCCAAATAAAGTGTGTCTAGTAATTTTATGGTTTGTGTATCAGTTATGATGCTGATTTTAGACCATATGTTAAAGGTGAGTTGGCAGAATCATATTCTGCCATTTTAATGAGAAATTGGGGGCAATAGGTTCCAAAGCTTATAGTTAGAAAGGGTTCAATGGACTGGCATGAAACTTGACAGTGTAGGAGAAGTAAGTTTGAGGATGGTCCATACCAAATTGGCGGTAGAAAGGATTATTATTTTGAACAAGTTAAATGTTTGATGAGAGACTTCCGCAAGCGGTGTTTCTAGCATAGAGCTTTGCTGGGGCAGCTTTGGGGAACAGATTTCTCCATTTGTACTGCGTATTTTGGGAAATATTAAGGGGAGCAAATAATATGTGGCATTGCCCATGCATTGTGTAACAAAAAAACCATTTTTGTGGTCAGTCACTTTCGGATTCATTAGGGCAGTCGTTTTCAACCAGGGTGCTGTGGCACTCTGGGGTGCCTTGAATGATGGGGAGGGGTGCCTTGAGGAAACACTGCCCTCTGTCCGTCTTTCCTTAGCTCCCTCCTCTGATGCCCTCTCACGTCTCTGCCTCCCAAAGGCTTTGCACAGCTGTTTGTTGCAGCAGCCCTGGCTACAAGCTCCCCAGGCAAATGGTGTCTCTGGAGCTGGCCAGGGGGTGCTTCCCATGACCCTGTGGGGCAGTGTGAGGAGGAACCACGTTTTGGGGCAGGGGATGTTAAGTTGTGGGTGAACATATCAGACGACACAGCGATTCTTCAAACAGCTCTTGTTTATTCACAAGCCAGAACAGAACTGAACTGAAGGGTTCAGCCAGCCTGCTTATATAGAGCTCCACTACAATGCAACAGTAACCACTTTCTGTAAATATCCAATCACTGAATGTCACTTTCAATCCCTTATTTGCATATGTGGACCTGAGTGAAAACTATCTACAGTATCCCCCTGCTGGCCCAGGGTGAAAACTTCAGTACATAACAGGGGGAAGCTCAGAGACCAGGGGTGGCAGCTGTGGCTGCCCGGAGGATCCCAAGGAAAGGGGAGAGGAGTGGAGGCTGAGGGAACACTCCACAAGGGAGGTTGTTCAAAAAGGGGTGAGGGGCTGCCAGCTCTGCAAGCAAGGGGTGGCATACTTTCTTCTTCTTTCTTCTTCTTTGGTGATCACTCGTAGCCGAATAAGATTGTCTTCAATAAACACGGTTTTAACAATGATTCTGTAAGTGACTGTGGAGGCCAATTCTGGATGCACACATCCTTCCACAGTGGGGACATTGGTTTCTGGGCGGGAGTTGATCACGGTGTGGATTTGCCAAGCATGTCTTCCTCTTAGCACGTTTCTCCCTTGCGTCCTGAGTTTGAGAGTCTTCAAAGCCCTTGACACCTTTGGCAAAGGCTGTTCTCCAACTGGAACGCTCGCAGGCCACAGAGGTGCCACAGAAAGAATGTAGCTGGTGAAGGGAGCTGTGGACCCCAAAAGGTTGAAAACCTCTGCATTAAGGTGAGACACCTGGAAATACTTGGTAGAGACCTACTGTGAGAGAATGTCCAATGCAGCAAGGAAGAGGATGAGTGGAATGTTGAGCTTCAGGCAAAGAGGACTGATTGGGAAATGGCACTTCATAGTTAGAGGGATGGTTTGAGGAACATAAAATGGCACCATCAGTACAAATGCTAAGGGAGAGGGCAGGAAAAGCTAAATCACAGTGTGCTTTGTCAACACTGAACGCTGACTGACAGTTGGAGGTGGGCAAGAATGGAAAACTACAAGGGAAGGTAATAGAACGGAGTGTTCTGAACAAGAACACTTGGACTACAATGTTTGGTTTCAGATCCCACTTGTAATACTTCACAAATGTTCTAGCACTTCTTAAGAACCTTTTCCCAAGCTGCAGCTTCTGTTACATGGTGACCCAGGTAACAGGTAACCTGCGGGTGTTCTGATACACACACATTTCTTTGCAGACAGGGAGTGTCCCAGTTTTATGTACAGTGGTACCTCTGGATACGAACGGGATCCGTTCTGGAGCCCTGTTCGCATCCAGAAGCAAAAGTATCTAGTGACTGCATGTCTGCGCATGCACACGTCGCTTTTCACCGTTTCTGCACATGCGCATGACATCATTTTGAGCGTCTGCGCATGTGCAAGCAGCGAAATCCGGAAGTAACGCACTCCGTTACTTCTGGGTTGCCGCAGAGTGCAACTCGAACGAGCTCAACCTGAAGCGCATTCAACCCGAGGTATGACTGTATTAGTTAGAGGCTGTTCTGGGTGCATATTATAATTGCCCAATCAAGTGTAAATGAAAATAAAATCATATACATACCAGCTCGAATCTAGACCCGGCAATCTCAGTGAAGCTATTTGGGGGGTGCCTTTTAGATCACTGCAGGGGAGTGGCTTCACATCACACAGTTCCCCCCTGAGCAGGTGGTCTAATCAATGCTCCCTTAGGAACTTTTTTGAACAAGCAGAAACGAATGCTTAGCCAGATGCAGGGCAAAATGAGTAGCATTGCAATCAAGTTTCCCTATATACAGCAATTGTCGCAGTGGAAAAAACCAACAAAAAACGTAAAACTTAATTTGCTTTGCACAGTACTTTAGCTAGGAAAACATTAAAGAAATGATACGAATGCAATCTGCTTAACTGATAGTTCTTTGAGGGGGGGGCTTAAAATGTCAATTCTGTATAATGTATTAAAAGTAAATGTTGGTACTAGAAAACCTATTGAATCAGTAGAAATTAAATATTGTTGAAGCCCATTTATTCCACATGTGCAACTGAAGGCACAATAATCTTTAGTACTGTATCACAAATGCCTGAGTCATGATATGCATGGTGGCAGACCAAAAAAATGTATTATTCTTAAGTGTGAATATGGAGTTTTATTAGCACAGCTTGTTTTTAAACATGTAAGTAGTCTGCTTTAAACAAATGTATTCATTATTCAGATGAGATCTGTATCTTGCCCACCATTCCAAGGAAGTCAGGCTGGAATTTTAGCCTGGTTGGTGGATCACATGTTTCTAGAACAAAATATAGTGGATTCCACACCTAAGGTTTGTGCACTCCTACAGTAAATTGTGTTAGTTTGAGAGTCATTGAGATTCTGAAGTCTTCTGTGGCAAGTATGCATTCAACACGTACCCTTTGTTCATTTGAAACAACAACTTTCTAGGAGTTTCTAGGAGTCCACTATAAAATAACAATTAAAACAAGTTTCTGAATGGTTCATGCTAAAGCAAGACTAATGAACCTTTTTTGACATTCATCTATATTGCGGTTATGAGGTTAAGCAGGAATGAAAATTACTGTTATCTTTTCCATTGTTACGGAACATTGTTGACACTTGGTACTGGCAAAATAATTTATGTGATGAAGCCGCAATAGATTTTGTACAGGATAGGTAGCTAGTCATTATATTTGGGCTTCAGCATCTGTGGCAACACATCCTCTGTTTGGGTATCTAGAAAAGGCATTGCCTGATCAAATAAGTTCCAGTCCCTTACCGTTATGCTCTGAACTACTAATATGCCACTGAGGTGGGATA